AATATATATATATATATATATATATATATATATATATATTCAATTATATTCAGTCAGAAGATCAGCAAGATATACAGTTAATATGACTATAATTCAGTGGGTTATTACAGTTTGAATCAAAAGGAGTTACCTGTTAGATCAAGTAATTTTCAATTGCAGCATATAATTAAGTAAGGAATATGAATTCATATTGGAAACTGACTCCTCTTCCTTCAACAGTTTTAGAAGTATAATTATAAAAATCAAATCATACAGTGTCGTGGATTTCAATCTTAAAATTTTAAAGTAATTTTAATATAAGCTCATAATTGGTTTTCATAATCACCTTCAATCACGTGGACCACCAGATCCGATCGATCGAAATCGTACTTCAATCGAAAATGCAGTCGACCATGTTTGGTCGCTTCCTCACTGTCGCATGACTGGAAAAATACCATGTCTTTTTTCGTGTAAAGATCCGGTTGTATGGTTCCTGAATAAAAAAAAAGAACAACATTCAGTCATAGAGAAAAAGAACGATACTTTTTCTTTCAGAAAAATATAGGATTGTAAAATTAAAAAACGGAATTTTCAACACTCAAAACATTATCCTTGAATATTCTGTTATTGATAGTTTTCATAAGCTATCATTACCTAACTCAACGGATAGATTGTTTGTAGTTAAGCACAAAGCTACACAATAGGCTATCTGTGCTCTGCCAACCACCGGTATCGAAACCAGATTTTTAGCGTTATAAGTCAGCAGACATACCGCTGTGCCACTGGGGAGGAGGGGAGGCTTCAACAGATAGAAGTAGAGAATATATTATACGTTAATTGTTTCATTTATTGGTGGCTAAGACACAAATTATTTTTAGAAATAAACTAAACCTGATTTATAGGGGGGGGGGAAGGGGAAAAAGATGAATTCCATCCCGTGAACAGGTGATATAACTAATGGACATAGCAAAGTTCCATTTTAGCACTGATTAAACAATATATTCAGATTCGCGATTTTCTAAGTGCTTTGCTAGATTTGAATTAACTTTGTTCGAAACGTTATGTGATTCCAATGAATTATTCAAGTAGGTTTATTCAGAAAGTATCAAATTAAAATGTTTGTTATTATGTCTTCACTTTTTTTATAAAATTGAATAAACTGACATAAATTTTGTGTCAAAAATCTATTGTGTTCCAAAATGGACAAATTGGCCGCCATTAAACTCACATAACGTTTCACAGAAACTGATTGTTTTAGTCAACTCTACTGTTTAACTACATAACAGGTGGCGATTGCTGCTACCCCCTGGTCAGCAGTTCTAATCTGAGGCTGTTTCTGCTCTGGCCGTTTAGCATGTCGTTCTGGTTTAAAATACTCAATAAAATGTTTGTTTGTCTACTTTTTTACTCTTATGAGTACAGATTAAATATAATTATAGGAACTGTTTCAAAATATAAGTTGTCGCCCTCTAGACGACATGGCAATGGAAATTTTCAGTAATGTTTATACACCATAAATCATAAATCTATGTGACATTACCTGAAATACTACTGTTTTAATAGAAATCACTGTTACATTCTCTAGATACATAAGAATAGAAATACTAGTTTTGTGGAAATAAAATTACTTAGGTAAATAGCATCATTTTTTCTCCTGTAAAAGTTGATTAGTTAAAGATTTACATAAAAGTTATTATTCATTCTTGCACGTGCCTATGAGTTAATTATATAAACGTGTATTTATAAATAAGTGCACGAGATATCAGCTATACGCTTACTTCGTAAATCTTTATTCATTATATACTTAACTTCAAGGAAAGCGCTAGTAATACATACCCTTAATTTAACCAAGAAAACCGTTATTATTACATACCTTTAATTTAATCTCAAGGAAAGCGTTAATCTCACATACCTTCATTTTACCCTCAAGGAAACCGTTAATATCGCATATTTATAATTTCACCTTGAGGAAAGCATAAATATCGCATTATCCTGAGTTAAACATGATGAGAGTAATCTCGCACACCCTTAATTAATTTGTTTGTTTGCTTGATTTTAGCGTCAAAGTGCATATGCTACACATCTTGTAGTGAACAACAAGTAATGGATTAGTAGGCACTGAATTTTGTGCTAAATATCCAGTTGTCACTAAATACAGAGGAAAGGTCTTTGCTAATTTTTGAATACATCTTTTTGGGTACATCTGTTAATTCTCTCAATATACTCAGCAGAAGTACAGATCTTGTGTCAAAGGCTCAAAGTTTTCAACAGGTTGTTACAGCTAAATCATAAAGTTCGCATCAGCTGAAAAAGTCACATTATGAGCTGGTATTTATTTATTTATTTTCAAATTTATCCGACCTTAGATTCATTGCAGAGTTCCAAGCGCGAGATATCTACCTTATTCAATTTGATCTTGGACGACGAAAGACATTCAAATTCGATTTATTACGACTGAAACATAGTACAGGCAGCTAGCTATAATAGCGTGATGGTATATATATTTAATACCTTGTGGTCGAATTTGTAGATATATTTTACATATGATTAGATAGAATATTATGTGTGTAAAAGTTTATTACAAGAAGAGTGCTTACCTATAGGACTTACAGTACCAGGACTGGCACCAGAATCTGAAGTCAGTGAGTAAGATGGAGACAACAGCGGTGACGCTGGAGAGCGCGGTCTTGTTCCTGCAATAGTGGGACGTAATGTTGGATCTGGTACAGGAAACAGAGTGGAAGTGTCAGGAGATGGAATTCGGTAATGTGGGGTTGCTGGACTTCGGAGTTCACTGAACGTAGTCGACTGCTGGTTGTCGGAACGACTCGATATTGACAGTATAGGAACTGGCGGAAATTGTCGAACATCACGAGAACGAACTTTGCTCACTATCGGGGAATGACGCATCATCATCGGTAAAGAATAACTAGATTGCGACAGAGACACTTTTTCCTCCGGTACATGAACGTCAGGCAAAGACAGTTGTACCTGAAGTTCATCCACGTGAGCTTTTACGGTCGACGTTGAAGCCATACTTAAGACAGAGCAGGTGGAACCGCTAGAATGGGTTGAGGTCAACGTGGAAGCAACAGCTCCAAATACCGGGGCATGCGAATCGGACTGTTTTGGTTGTTCTCGAAATATGTTGAAATTCTACGAGTAGAAGATACATAGCCTTATTAACTTGTATTTGATAAAGTCTTACAAGTAATTTAATAATTTCACAATCAGCAAGTAATGATTTTGATGATGTGCATAGCATCTATTTTTTTTTTTCTGGTCAATACATTTTTGTTTTTGTTTACTTTCAGTTGTTAAAGGATGTCTGGTCATCTCAAGCATTTTGCTCAACCAAAAAAAATCATTATAATAACCTAATTTTCATTTGTTGATATTTCCCAGAAGGTCTGCGGTAAGTATATGTTTATGGACTTACAATGCTGAAATCCGGAGTCTGATTCCCTTTAATGCACAGAGCGCGATTAGCCCGTTGAGTAGTTTTGGGGTAAAGCAAACAAACAAACATTTGTTGAATCTGCTGATATCAAGCGAAGTGTTATGTCTTAATTCTTGGTTTGTCCTTGTCCACCTATACGGATGAAAGTGACCAGTGGAAAATCCAAAAACAGAGTAGGTCTCGAGTCTACCCCTAATATGCATATAGACTCCGCATTCTATCGAATGCAACCAGGAAAGACATGACATGTTATTAAACACACTTAATAATTCTGGCAAACAAAAGGATTATTGCCTACACTCAACACGAATAGTTAAGTTTCAAGATTACATTAGTATATATGCTGCCTTCCCATAAAATACGATCAGTCATAATACTGAGTTGTGGCTCAGGAAATAAAACAATTCTATTTCATAGTTAATGATTATTAATTCCTGGTATATTCATTGGTCAGAGAGCTACGTATTTTCTAATGATAGTTAGGACTTAAAAAAAACAACAAAATATAATTATTTGATTTTTTTTCTTACTTCTTCAGATCCACGTATATATATACTGCCCTTCAGTAAACTAAGACTGCCCCCGTAATAATATTTTATAATATAAATATTAAACAAAAAGTACACTTCCTTAAACTAATGTTAAGTATTACACAATATTTCACTACACGTACAGGCTCACATAAAACAAAAGTTATCCTTACTATTAATGGAATTAAAATGTTTTATTTTTATCAAAGTGCAATTCCAAATAACTTAATCGTATTCATTGTTATAAAAGAGCGTACGCCCAAGTAATTACATAATCGTGTCATATTAGTAATAGCGTACGTTTGTTAAAGAAATAATACATGTTATATCAGTAAACATGCATATTCAAGTAACCAATCAGATCTATATTTTTTTGTTTTCCCATGACATTATGTACATAGGGAATGCGTGTCTTGGAAATTCTAAATCTCGATGTGAGTGTATGAGTATGTTGTGTCGGAAAGAACTGTTATATACCTTACTCAAAAGCGACCAATTTTCGATGGCATCAAACTACCTACGACCTGCCAAACAGTGTCAAAAATGTAGTTCTGATTCATTCCGTCCCACCGCGACTTTATATATGGGTTGTGATTTAGTTGCCACGTGACTTGCTGATTTGGGATATTGAAATCGTTTTAGCATAAGTACTTAACCTTGTATATTAAGTAGGACTTATAAGGAAGCGTGGTAACGATCCCTATGTAGGGATGGGTCAGGTTAAAAATGGTGGCCTATACATTGTGTATGGTAGCACGTACGCCAGGGCATCGGCCACACCCGGCCAAAGGGAAGAGACGAAAAGCCCTTTACTTATCAAGTATAAAGCTGCTTCTATTTCTTTCTTCTTCTCCGTCAGCTGTAACTCGTAAATCACAGTGTGCCTACGACCAGCCTGCACACCAAAACACTTCAATATTCTCTAGGATGTGCCTTTTCAAACCTGGAGCAGCAAATGATCCATGATAGGTTAGTTACAGCCCAAAGTACTATCCACGGTCTCTGATCAGTAAGCCATTATGAGAATTATATGGAAGTAGATAATCTACCATATACTCCTTACTGCGCCGTGCAGTATCCTGGTTATGACTTGTCTTGCTCCAAGAAGTAAAATTACAGTTCCTTGCAAAGGTGTTCACCCCTACCAATAATGTCACATTTTTATGAAATACAAATATTGTAAACAATTGTTTTTATTCAAAACTCTAATGATCAAATTTAACACTGTTATATATGAAGAAGGTTGAATATTAGTAAAACCTGCAAAGAAATATATAAATTGAAATTTGCTGATTGCATAAGTA